GGAACTCTGACATCATTACTTGCTCAGATTCTACACCCTTCTGCCGGTTGTTAGCCTTGAGTGCTTCTCGGGGCCCCGATCTTGACACGAGGCATTGCAGCGATGCGGGGTTGTCAAGGTTTTGGGGAGCTTTGTTGGGGGTTTTAGGCTTGAGGCATGATTCTAATTCGGGCTCTTGCTCTGAGGCTCTGTCGCTGCGAGCGGATGGTTCAAGCATGCTGAACTCGTCGGGTTCCGACTGTAGAGATCTAGCAGATCCGGGATGCGGCAGCTTACTTAGTTAATGGGATGTGGTAAGCAGGCTGCAACTGGCGCTGGAAGCGCTCTCGTTTGAATTGCAATTTAAACCCCACCGAGAAGCTACCAAGTCAAGCTGGTAATAATCGCATGAACCTTCCTTTGCACACTACCTTTTCCGACAAACACGATGCCCTTCCGAGTCTAAGCATGAAACCCTGTGCCACAGACTTCCCAGACCCGAAAAAACCGAAGCCTAAACTCCTGGACCCTGAATTTTACACCGCAGATCCTTAATGCTAGGAAAACCTCTCTCTCTCTCTCGCTCTCAGTCGCGCAGAGCAAGTCCACAAGTGAGACCACTCGTCAGTAGCCCTTTCAGCTGTAAAGCTAGGAAAGCCTAGACAGACCTAGATGCTCTCAACATCCTCAAACTGTAAAGCCCTAAAGCCGGCTCCTCTGTGCTGATGGTTCCTGGAGCACAGCTCCGGCAAGAAGTCTGGGCAGCCTGTCGGGGCAGACCGTCTTAGAGGCTTCAGGGCTTAGGTAGGGTTCCGAGTTTGGGCTTTTGGGGCGTAGGTTCAGGAAAGAGGATCGAATCTTTCAGACCTCTGTACAACGGGCAGGGAGTAGCATTTGATTGGTTGGACGGAAACGCATCCGTGAGATTCTGCAATGTCTGTAATATCCGCCGAAAACACTTGGACTTGGTCCAATATTGCTCCTACATTCGAGTCATCCCATCAAAAAAGGGGAGTTTCTTGGCCTCGAGGATCATACCTCCAGCAGGTCCCGCAAACCCGGAACTACAGATTAAAACATGTAAGTACGTACCATTAAGGGCGTTCCGACGTTGCTCAAGAGCTGTATAGCTGTGAGGAGGCCTGATGCCTAATGCAAGATCCTGATCTTTATAGATCCGGGACTCGAGACCTCAACTTGTTCCGGCTCCAGTGGCATTTCTGGAACCCCAATACCCTAGGTCCCTAGGTATGCATCTCAGAATGCTTGGGCTTGACGAGCGGTTCTTTGGAGGCGCCAAGCCTTAAATCCCTCTGACACAACCCGCAGGGCCTCGTTGTTGAACAACCCGGCGGTGCAGTTCGTACACTGCGTCAGCCCACTGGAGCTGCTGAACATACCCACCGGGCAGATTTCGCAGCGGCTTTGCCCCATGGCCTCCGCATAGTATCCTGGCCATGCTTGAGCAAAGGGTAACGCTCTTGCACAGTTCTCCAGAGGTTTTAGCCCTGATGCGAAACTTGGAGACGTCGAACAGGTTGGGGGTGTTGTGTGAGGGGGACGGCATTAAGTAATCAAGTCTGTTTCATTTGACTGCGCATAACACCGTAAAATTTCGGCACCACACACCCCGAGAGACAGAGACCGTTGAAGAAATCTTTAGACTCCAAACCCAAGCCATGGGAGCTTCGGGAGTTTGGCCATCAGGATCCACTGCACCAATGTGCCATTGAGCATGAGAAGCCCAAAACCTAAAAGACCACGCCAAAAAAGAACACCCATAACCCATACACCCTGAATCCTAAACCCGCGATATCCAAACACGAACTCATGCACACTGAACCCTACGCAACAACAAAGCACCGACAACAACAGGCAGCCTGCGCTGCAGTTGGTGCAGGCCCGCTGGCCCGCCGTGATGGACACCTGCAACACGCATTTGAAGCTTTGTGAATCAGCTGTGATTGCTTAGAGCGTAGTTGAGGAGTTGACATTGCGAGGGGAGGTTCCGAACATAGTCTTCAAGCCATCTATCTCAACTCTCAACTCTACCTCTACCTTGTGACCATTGGCAGTGCCCCGGGCTGCACGTTTCATGGCCGCGGGGATTTCACGCGTAGGGTGCCTCATTATTCATTCGCTCGGTGAAGCCCTACTGTCAACTCTGAGTTGCAAGTTTTTTTGTTTCCACGGCTTTGATTTTGGTGGGGGGCGGGGCCCTCCGCAGGAGCCTGGCCTTCCCGGGCGCGCAGGGCGAGCAAACGCCATCCTGCGAGGGGTAAAGATCCATCCAAATCCCAAAGCCCGAATCAAAGCCCCTCCAGAGCCTCTCTAAGGCAACAAGAACGGAAAGAACTCGACTCGCATGTCCTAGAGTGCTAGAGACACCGAGAACCCGTCGTCGGCCAACAGAAGAGCTCCGGACTCCTGGTCCAGGGAGCCGCCTGGAGGGCAGAAGATGCACCGTCGCACCCGCAGAGAGCGATTCCACAAAGAGAAAGAGCTGTCGGGACACCTGCATCCGGAGCTGGCAGGACCGTTTTTGGGCTCTAACGGCTTTAGGAACTTAGGCTTTGGGCTTTGGAGCCTGGAAAGGCAGAATGCGCAACCCGCGAGACGATGGTACGGCTGAGGATCTTGGGGTTTGGGGCTCTTTGGGCCTGCTGTGGAAGCTCAGAACTTGCTGTGCACACATCATATCTCAGACATGGACCAAAACCCCAGTAGCCATCCACCCGGCGCCTCACACAGGTCCCAGACTCATCGTTCCCATAAGCAGAGGGTGCCTCCCAAGGTGGCTTGAAAAAACACTTTACTGAAAGGATTGTGGGAGCCCACACGGCCTTTTTGAGTTCTATACGGCTTTGTTGCGTTCTATGGGGAGACTGTTCCAAGTTCGTGTGTTTAGGGTCAGACATTCAGGTGTTTGGACCCACAGGTGCTGTGCCGCTTTGCGGTTCAGGGGCTCAGGGGCTAAGGCCTTTGGGACCAGATGACGTTGTTTCCACTACCAGAACCCCAGATGTTCAGAACCAGCCTCTGAAGAAGCAACACAAGGACGTATTGAGGCTTTGGGGTTTTTGGGCTGGAACAGGCTTCTGGAGTTTGGGCTTGGCTACTAACCATATGTTAGGATATGGCTCAGGGTCTGGGGAAGAAGTTTTTCGGGAACGAGGTCCTTAAGTTGAAAACCTTCATTTTATAAATCAGCAGCGTGAACCGAGTGACAAGCTCACACCCCGCAACTGGGTCCTTGCTTTGGGCTTTTTTTGAGTTATCATACCAGGGAGCACATGATTTGCATATCAACATCGGGATTTAAAACCCTAACAAGCACCAAAGACAAAACGCTTATTCAAACAAGAGCATCACATGTCACATCGAAACCACATTATGGCAACTCTAAGAAGAGGCCTAAACATTGAATCACCGACTGCCTCGCTGGCGCACTGCCGCTCTGATGAGGACGGCATGAGCCGCAACGGTGCGACGGCCTTGTGCAAGGGTGACACGACCACTGGCGGCTTGCCCACCTGACCAGGGTTTTAGGGCTAGGGTTATCCTTCGTATACCAAGGATCTGCCAAGAACTGGGATTTTGGAGTCTTCAAAGCTTAAAGCTGCAGTTTCAGGATTGGGGTCCGGGCTCTAGCCCTGTAACTTCAGCCTCGGCAAACCTCTCGAACCGGACCCCACAGAAACATGCCTCGAATAGAACCCGTTTCTTCACCTCAACGAGATGATCCCAAGCACGGAATTCTCCTGAAGCCTGGGAGCATGTTCCTTAAACCCAAAGCCTGATCAGATCTGCGACTGTGGAGCCCTGAACCTTGTGACTCGCTGCTTTCTGCACCTTCCTGCAAGCCCGGAGCTCGAAACTCTGCACACAGGCCTCTTGCAGCTGAACAGCCTTGAAGTCCATGGGAGTTTGGCCGTGCTCCTGAGACTCTTGCGCGCAGGCTAAAACGGAATTAGAGCCTGAGGCTATGTCTTTGAGAGGGTGCTGGGCTTGAGGGTGTCAGGTCCAACGTGACGATTGAAGCATTCGGGCTTCGGTGCATGGGCACAGGCTCTTTCATCTGTCTTGGAACGTCTAAGAGCGGAAAGGGCTCGTGAGTGCTTCCGTGGATGGCTTTCGATTGCTTGGCTTGGGGAAGCCCAGCATCCTATGACCATGGCCTTTCGCTGGGTGCAGGTTCAGTTTCTGTTGGTGTCGTTGGAAATGAACCTGACTGAACTTGCTATTTGTGGAGAAAACAGAGCTCCACAATTGAAACGATCGAAAAAGTGTCACCGTCACCTACGTCTCTAACCCCGTTGAAGCTGTTCTTCAACCGCCAGCATCCGTTTCCTCGACAACCTACAATCTATCATATATCACCTATCCCAAAACAAGAAAGTCCAAACGCCCTCCATCCTTTCAGGATCAGGGTGAGATGAACTCAGGAACCCCAGACGAGACTGCGTTCGCTGTTGAGGTTTTTTGGGCCCTGTGTCTGGGACTCAAGGTTTCTAGGGTTTTGGCCTGGACTCGACGTAAAAAAGGGTTTAACAGTTAGGGAACCCCATGCAACGAGACATTCGGGCCGGGGTCGTCAAAGGAGACTCGGCCGTACAGTGTTTCCAGGTCCAGACGTTGCCTCGGCAAGCTCCGAGTGTGTCGGGATTCAGAACCCCCTTTTGTTTGGCATTTAGGGATTGAGGGTCGATGGGGGATTTAGGACTCGGGATTTTAATGGAGTCTTTGCAGGAACTTGTGGTACTCCGTGGCTTAAAGCTTTTGGGGCTTGGATTGTCTTTGCTCAGTCTTTGCATAGGGTTCAGTCTTTTGGACAGATCATGGTAAAGGCTTTGGGAAAGAAGGCCTGCCGAGAGTGAAGGATGCAGCACCTTTGCTTGTAGGGCTGAGTGCTCGGCTTTAGGGCTCCCAGGGCTGCACGTGTACATTGGGCTTAAGGGGTTTTGGAGTTTGAAGCGTGGGATCTTGCGTGTTGTTCTTCAGGGGCTTGGCTTTTGACCACTTGCTTTTCGGCGCTCTAAGTACCCTAGTGGAGGCTGCTTGGTTTAGAACTTCATTTAGAATCTACTCAAGGCCCTGGATGCTGCAAGCATGTCAGTCTGAACTCGAAGATCCCAGCACCCTGCCTACGCATTCTGCGCCTGAGACATGCAACACTTAATGTGTTGCCCTCAACCCTATACCCGGCGCCCGGATTCCGGCACGGTGCAGCTGGGCGGAGACCATAGCTGGTTCCGTCGAGTTCGCCATCTCAACAGCCCTGCAGTTGGGCTGTCTTCGGCCGGGTGTCAAGCTCTACGCAACAAGTGTCCCTGCATTGTGAACCCTGAGCAGCCCCGGCCTCCCCAAGCTGACGATGGCAGCCCACGCAGCAGCAGCTTGGTACGGCGGGTCCTCCGTGTACTTGGACCTGCGTTCTAAGGGTTTGGGTGGATCGGGGGTTATCCCCAAGCCGAACCTCCAACTCCTCCAACTCCGGGACGCCAACCCGCAGCAATAAACCATCGGACAACCGGTCCGGAAGAACCCAAGCAGTGCGAGGCCTGTAAAGGGCGCCGAACTCTGCAGCGGAAAAGCCCGTCTCCTCCGACTGGTGTGGCATGGAGGGCAGCCACGAAGTCACCGCGGTGAGCCACCTCCCGGCTGCTTGTTATAGCTCTGAAAGATTCGGATGTGTCTTCTCATAATCTACAGTTTAAAGTTGCGGTGTGATGTGGAATGTTTCCGAACCTAAACTCTAGACTCTATACGACCCTATACCTTGACCTTGACCCGGGAATCTGCAAATAGCTTCTCAGGCACAGCAACGGGCTGCACTGTGTCGCTGTCGAATTAGGCTCGAGCGAATCACTTCCAAAACCCATATGCGCAGGCATTCATTGCCGGCTTTATCGTGCTGTCCCACCGCCGAGCCCGAGTGGAAAACCTAAAGCACATGGCATGAGGCAAGCCCTCGTCTCTGCAACCCGGGACCCCCGAAACCACGCAGCCCTGAGGCAGACTCTCAAAGTCTACGGTTGTGGTGCGGGAAAGCACTCCTGAGAAGTACTGTCATTGTTCGCACGGTACATGTAATGAAGCCTACTTCTAAATCTTGAAGCCAGAGGCAAAGTCCTGCTGAAACCCCATAGTCAAGCTTCAGTGTTTCAAATGTTTCTGGGTTGAACAAACTTGCTTTAACGATCTCCCACCAGGGCACCCTCTTCTTCTTTAAGCGCTTTAAGCTACGCTTGGAACGATTCCTTAAATTGCTGACCCCGAACAGAAAAAGCCTTGTTGCTTACTTGAACCTGTCAGGGTCCTAGTGCAAGCTCTACAAGAGAATTTATAAGGACCCTGCTTTGAACGTGCAATGGCCTCCCCTTGGAACCCAGCTGAGAGATGCTGTCCGACGTCACGCAGGCCGTGAAAATCACGGCCTTTCGGGTTCACGGATATGGGTTCGGGGTAGCGGTTACAAAACGAAACTGCACTTCAGATGTTCGCGGGCTCGTGGCTTCTACGCCTCAATGCTATGGCTGAGGGTTCAAGGCAGCGAAAGCGAGGTGAACCCACCTGTTGAGTCTCCTAGCTGGCGCCATGCCTTGGGTTCGAACTGCTGCTCAAGCATCTCCTTGGGATTCGTTTGGGCTGTTCGTAGGGCATGGGGTTGGGAGTTCTGTGGCTCCGAGCCTCGGGCTCAGGGACTAAACCCCCGACCCCCGACGTCCAGAAACCTCGAAGCCAAAGGCCGCCAGTCGCCGGACCCGAACCCGTTCTCACTCAAAATACTGCCGCTGCAATCCCTACATGAAGCTAAAGTGTCAAGAGACCAGAAGGAACTGCCGTGCGGTCCTAAAGATAAACCCCCAGACACCATTTAGCCACCTAGCTGCCTTTACCATGGTGATGTGGGAGCTGGGTGACCCCAATAAGAATTCAAAACTGTAGGATCTTTCAGACAACGACCACTAAATTGGATTTCAGTAAGGACGGACCCCTGACATCAAGCAACCCCCATCTCATATGGGGTGTCCTCCACAAAGCTGTGGCACACCTGCTCGTAGACGCACCCGAAAACGGCATCGGGACGCGCAGCTTTCAGGCCTGCTACCAGGTCCTGGAGAAGCGTCGGGGTTCACAGGGGCTTCGCATGCGTTCAAAAAGATAATTCTTTTGTTGTGCTCCATTCACATGCTAGTCCCGAAATACAGCAGGCCCCATATCATGGTGTTTAAAAGCCTCTCTCCGTCCTAGGCTTCCCTCTTGGACTCTTGGACGGTCCTGAAGTCAGCCCAAAAGAAAGCCCTGAGGCACATCCTCCCACAAAAATCGGATCCTAATCACCAGCAGAACCCCGGAACAATCCAATGTGCTTCAAGGCTCCTTCACGACGGAGCCATTTGCGGACAAGGGTATCTCCTGGTTGCTTAGCAAGGTCATGTTGTACTCCGATGCGAGGTCCTGTTGGCGGGAGTTAAGCTTAGTTTGATTTCCAGGTGGAAGGAGGATATTGGGCATGAGGGTCTTACAGATTCAGGGTTCGGGCATTTAGGTTTCCAAGACCCCCAACACTCGGCAGATCTTGGTGCAAGAGCAAAATGAACAGTGGGGCACAGCCACAGAGCAAGAATACCAACCAAAGTCGTAGTATGAGGAATCAAGATATAGCTTTACCGCAAATCGCTGCCGTCACACAGATGCTTTGCTTTGATTTCCAATGTTTCGTTACTGTAGTGCAGCCACCGTCGCACCAGAAAGAAAGCCTGACAAAGCATCTCATTCTCCGGGCCCCAATTGACCCACCTGCAGTGGGCTGCAAACCGCCCTCGGCCCGCCGCTGTCTTCGTAGAAACCAGCGATTGTCCCAATCCCGCTGGCAACGAGGGCCTCGCAGGGATTTTCGTTTTGGGCTCGTACCCCCAACTGCTTGAAGCTATCAATCCAGCAGAACAGGCCCTGCGTTCCGTGGAAGGTAAGGCGGCAGGGCTTTGGGAGCTATTTCTGACGGGCTTGAACTATCTGGAGGCTTCAAGCAAAAGCAAGCGAAGCTTCTTCGTATCGGGCCTCGAACGAGCCCCGCATATAGTTCCGCGCAGGTGGGTTGACATTGAAAACAGTCGGGCGATCTTTAGTGATGGCTGTGGAAGCTGCAGATTGAGCCACCAACAAGGCACCAGAGCTGTTGGCCACATCTGCTGCCACAAGGGATAGCCCAGAAGAGTAGGTGCTGAGCCAAAGACTCACACCGTCGTAAACATGCCTCTCGAAGACCGCTCTCACATTCTCTGCCTCAGACATGTCGTTTCCCACTCGTATCTCAACTGGCCTCCAGGTGCCATTCACAAGCAAACCGCCCCTTTCTTGAACCCACTCGATGTAGATTTCGTAGGTCTGCTTGAAGGCGCGCCCGAAATTCATGAACCTGCCAGGAAACAGCGAACACGGGCCACCCTGAACGACCGCACTAAGAACAGCCCGGGAGCCCTAGAAGCCAGGGGAAGCCGCAATGAAAATCTATCCACATTAAGAGACGTTTCCCTTTGAGTCTAGGACAGCCCGAATTCAAAGAGGGGCCTGCTACAGCAGTCCAGCGCCCCTGAGCTTCCGATGATAACCGGTGGCTCAGTGAGCCGACTGCTGCTGCGAAGGATAATGGAGTGGAACTCCTTTAAGCTCGGAGGCTTTAGAGCTTGGAACTTCGAGGTTCAGGGTTTGGGGGTGTAGGATTCAGGGGCTTCGGGGTGGCTGTTCCCCCTTAAAGTTCAGAAGCTGTCAGTTTCAGCATCTTGAAATTCATCCTAACTCGCACTATGCTCTAAGCAAACGGACGCTCTTCGTCCTGGTTCGAACGCAGCAGTGACGACGACGATGATAATGACGATGATGGATGTATGGATACATGGCAGGCCGGCTGTCTGGCTGGGTGAGGTGGGTGGGTGTGGGTGGGTGTACGGATGGATGGGATGGATGGACGGACGGATGGATGCATGGATGGATGGTGATGATGGGATGATGGGATGATGGGATGATGGGATGATGGCTCTGGTGGTTGTAATGGCGATGGTGGTGATGATGATTGTGATGGTGATGGTGATGATGATGTTGATGATGATGATGATGACGCTGCTGATGATGATGATGATGATAATGATGATGGTGATCATGATGACGATGACGATGACGATGACGATGGTGATGGTAATGCGGTGATGATGATGATGATGATGATGATGATGATGACGATGATGATGATGCTGATGATGATGATGATGATGACGATGATGATGATGACGATGATGATGATGACAAAGCGGCGATGACGATTACAGTGATGAACGACCCAATCCGATGATGATGATGCTGATGATGACGGTGGTGATGATGACGATGACGATGATAACTGCGGCAACTATGTTGATGGTGCTAACTGTTGAAAGTACTACTACCGTCGCGTTCAACTGCTATGGCTTTAACGAGGCTGAGGTTGATGCTCGTGAGTCACGATGATGTCAATCTTGAGCGAGACTCATAGCACCGGTTGTGAAGGATTTCTAAGTTTGCAGCTTGCTGCACAAAGTCTTCAACCCAAACTCCGAAGACCCTCCTAACCCGAAGGAGCCGCTCTAGTAGAAGAAGACATCGAGAAAAAGCAAGGCCACACACACGCACGTGGACACACAAACACACACAGAGACGCAGAGACACGCGCTTCAAACAACTTGGGCGCCAGGGATCTGATCCGGAGCTGTGGACATGGGCTAGCAGGGTGCTCGCTGCTAGGAACCATCTCCAAGGCGATTTCGGGAGCCTTCGCTGTGGGACGGTGTTCAGAGTTTACGACTATAAGGTTTGGGAACCCAAACCCACACCATGGGTGCAGGGACTACTCATCCTCGCTTCGGGCTTACAAGGTTTCCGATTTAATAGCGGTAGTTCTTTATCTTAGGCCTCCTGGTCGGGATCCTTGTTAAATGAGTCAAATCAGGTACTCTTGGGCCCCACTGCGGAAAGAGTGCTTGGTGCTCTATGGGTTTTCGGGTCATTCAGAGAGTTCGGCTCACACGTGCAGACGTGCTGGACCGCAATAAATAGCAAAATCCACATGCACATTGTTGCTTTTTGGGTGCTTCAGTGTCAGACCTGTTATTTAATCATCCAATCACAAAATCACCATCAACAATAGAGTACTTTTTAGAAGGAGCCGGAAACCAAACCACCACTGCTAACAAGAAACCCACAACGGAAATCGTAGACCCTACGGCCCAAAACCAACCATCCTCAACCCTACACAGCCGCTTTCGACCTACATACCCGACCAACTCTCTCTCACCGTGCATTTGACTAGCAAACTCTTACTGGACTGCAGGGACAGCAATATAACAAGAGTCATATTTGTAGCAGCAGCAGCAGCAGCAGCAGCAGCAGCATGAATAATGGCAAAACAACCACACCTTTATTCAAACCAGCAATCACGACAATGACGTACTGATGATTTCTTGATAAGGGCATCCCAAGCAACCGGTCCATCACCGCATCGCTTCGAGGCAGACGTCGCCCGCCCCAAGCTCTTCTTCAACGATCGCAACACTTATTCGTAGCAGAAGTTGGGCTTAGGAATGGGGTTGAAGTTTTAGGAGGTTCGATATCTGATTTGCCGCGGAAGGCTCGGCACAAACATCCGCCGTGCAGGAAACGATTTAGGATGGTACACGGAGCCGGTGGCTGTGGCAGAGAATTCATGCGCACTTGGGGTTTTGACAACTGAGTCGGACCGCTTTTTCCCTTAGGGACCCAACTATCAGTCGCCTTACGTGCATCTTAAGGCCCCGTGTTTGTCTGCTATGAGCTATTGCCAACATTACCTAGTAGCCCCACCAGCTAAAATCCAATGTCGATCCTGATGTCTGATCACTACCCTGAATCTTTAAACCCTCAAATCCTGTACTAGGCCCATACATCCCAAACCTGCCGCAACATCACAGACACCCTTTTCTCGGCTTTGCTCGGCCCATCATGAGCCCTACACCCCTGCGCATGCCGCACGCTTCGGACCTTTAGGCAGCCGATGCCTCACCGTAAAGGTGCACCTGGACCTGAAGGCCTCATGTTAGGCCTTGGCCCGTGGTCAGGAACATGACGTGCAGGTGGCAACTCCAGGATGCCAAGACATGGCATAAAGCATGACAAAACCCTGGATTTCGCTGCCCGGCGGTCAGCTTTGGCAGAAAGCTGCACCGTGAGAGCAGGGTGCAGCATGGCGTGCAGCATAGTGTGCAGCATGGTGCCAAGGGCATGCAATGAAGGTATCAAACTCAAAGGGGACTCGGAAGCAGAGGCCACTGCGACAGTGCCTCATGTGCCTCTTGTGCCTTGCACGGAGGGATCGGACGAGACTTTTGAGACGGTGAAGGATGTTTCGGATGCAGTGAGGCAAGCCCAGAGTCCTCTCTCTTGGCTTTTGGCGTAAACCTTAAGTGTATCGGCCAGTCACTTTGAAACGCTCGGATGAAATTTTGAGGGACAGAAAAGCACCTCGAAGAGCCTCTCGCTGGCGGTTTTTTTACAGAAAGGAACGCTGTGAGGGCCCAGTTTTTCCACACACAAAGTTTTGCGATGTTTTGCGGTTTGTCGCTTA